AAAAAATCTGATTAGATCATCTAGAATCTTCATTTAAATCTACATCAATTTTTTAAAAAATCTTTGCCAGAATTTAATTTTAATTCAAATTTTCATACCTTTTTTTTTATATTTGACCTACTGGGCATCGGGGATGAATTGCAATCTGCATTTATAAAGTTTAGGGAATTTTAAGGAAGTTAGACAAGAATTAAAGATATTTTATTTAAATAGTGGTAAAAAAAAAATAATATTTCTTTAATAACAATTTATAAGTATATATATTTCGGTAAAAGTTAATTGTATATAAAAAAAAACATTTGAATATTATTTCAACATGAAAATAGATTAACTTTTCCAATTATATATACTTTAAATATTTGATTTATAGTCGCAAAACTGTATACAAACAGATAATATAATAAATAAGAAAACCATTAAGATAATAAAGTAGAATGTATATAATATTACTACAGCATCCAAAACTAGAGATAAATCGTTTTAGATTATTCCTTAATAAAACATAGAAAATTTCAAAACAAGAAGCCCAATTGTCTCTTTAGTTTTTAAATGTATATATATGATAAATATGTTATACCCTAACATAGTTAACAAAATGGACTGATAATAAAATTATTATTTCTTTCTTGGGGATGTTGAGTGGGGGGGGGGGGGGGGTATATGTTTTTAAATTGTTTTTTTTAATTATTTGTATAAGTTTGCAGTAAGGTTCCATGTCAATTCAGCAAAACTTTTATCGCTAACGTCGTTTATTGTGAATGAATTTTATAGCGAAACTTTTTTGTAGCTGTGAAAGACTAGTTTTATAAAGATTCTACTAAAAAAAAATTAATATAATTGGCACATCTAGTGCAGGCTTACCAATTATTCAAATGTGGAAAAATTGTATTTAAATATTAATTTTTTGTTTAAAATATATTTTTGTTAGTTTATATAAAATAGAATAAATTACTTGTATGTACATTAATATAAAAGCATGGTAATAATTTATTCCAAATAAATATAAGAAATTTATTTATAAAAAGTAAGTAGACATATAGTTGATATTCCTCTATTATATAGAATTGGTTACAAAATACTAAGTAAAATTCCACTTTTACAGACATATTTGACAGTTAGAGATTATATTACAGTTAATATTTTAACAAATTTTACTAATCAATGCTCTTGATAATAAATATTGCAACAATTTGTATTCAATTATTTAACGCCATCTATTTTTTTAATTAAAGATTTATATTAAAATTTATCTTCATATTATTCATCCCACAATGTCTTTAAAAGATATTTTCTGATGTCCTTATCAATATTTTATGGATTTCTGTAAAATATATAATTCGCTATATTGGTAAAAATTTGTCATATGATAATTGATAAAATTAGATATACTGTAAATCTGCTACATATAATTCCACTGTTTGTATTGTGCTTTAATTTTTTTATTTAATTTATGATTTAATTTTATCAATAGTTTTGTAATTATATTTTACTTTTATTAGGATAAATAAATTAAAATTAATATGAAAAATTATATTTGATATATTATATTATCTAGTAATTTTATGGATCTATTATTATAATTATAATACATTTCATTTTTGTCTTAAGACTTATCTTTGGCTTATATTCCATTTCTTTAAAAACACTTTTGGTTCACTTTTTTTATATAAAAATGATTTTTTAAAAAAATGTATAAATTATGTTGAATAGTTTTAGTTTAAAAAAATATCAACTTTTACATTCTTTCTTTCAAATTATTGTTTAAGATAAATGCTTCATTTTTGAGGGTCAGGAGTGGGGAGAGGACTAAGGGGAACATTACAAAAAGTGATAAATTTCTAAAGGTTGCCTCCCTCTGGCTATGCCTATGGGTTGCACCAAGGATCAGCTTTAATCCTATTATTTTTATTTATAGAAATAATTTATGTGCACATTGCCCAGATTTAATCCCCCCCCACCCCGCCAAAAAAACTTTTTTTCTTACATCCTAACCCCCTAGAAGCCTATCTTTTAAAAGAACATATTTTGACAGTATCGCCAATACTTCTATTTAAAATATTAGATGCAAATGATACTCTTTATCTTTTCTCCTATTTAAATTTAAAATTTATTTGAGGATTAGAAAGTTAGCATTTGTATTTTAAATACTAAAAATGAAAGTATTAATTATTAAAAACATACTTTATATATTTTTATCCATCAACAGAGAATAGAAAATTGATGTAGTTAGACTTATTATTAGGGCTGTGCCGATATTAAATATCGGATCGGTCCCGATATTTGGCGTTTTTCAAAAATATCGGATCGGCCCGATACCTGTAAAAACCCGATCCGATCCGATCCTTTTACTAAAAATGCAATTCTTATAAAACTTTTGAGTAATGAAACTTTGAATTATTATTTTTTAATAAAAAAAATTTTTTTAAAATATTTTAAAAAAAAATAAATTTTTTCGAGTTTCTATTTTACATTAATAATATTTTATAAATAATTTTTTTTTAAACAATGCAAATGTTATTTATTTTTTTAAATAGATTTTACAAGTTTTTTTATAAAAATAGAAAGGAACACCCAAAGTTTTATTTATTTTTAATTTTTTAAAAAAATAACACCATATATAGAAAGTATGAAAATATATTTTTCATATTAATTTAAATATTGCTTGGTTGGGCTATGATTGACCCATTTGTTTGGGTGATTTTTCAAAATCAACAAAAGATTGGGTTTGTATGAAACCCACTATTTTATAAATGCTAATTTTATATTTGTGTTATTTATTTAGAAAACTCGAATAACATTGATGATATTAATATTATATCCCCAGTGAATCCACTTGAATATTGGAGAGTTAATGCTGTAAAATTTCCAACTTTATCAACACTTGCACGTAAATTTTTGGCTCCTCCAGCAACAAGTGTCCCATCTGAGTCTGCCTTCAGTACGGCAGGGGATATTGATAGTCCTCATCGTAGAAGCCTATTGCCTGAAAATCTAGAGGCTCTTATATTTATTAAAAAAAATCTAATATATTATAATTTTATATATTAAATATTACAATTTTATAAACCAACATAAAATGGATATATTATTATATATTTTTTTTAAAATTATGGTTGAAATAAAAAAATTAAATTATGCATAATTCTTTTATGCATAAAAAATATTGATTTATTAATTACATTTGGTTCAAAGAGGGGTGGTAAAAAATTAATATAAATATCGGATCGGTATCGGATCGGTTTTGAACCAATATCGGATCGGATCGGTAAAAAATATGTGGATCGGCACAGCCCTACTAATTATATTAAATACCTATGCCTACCCCCCTAAAAAATTCCCGCCACCTTCAGCGGCGATGTTTTCTATTTATTAATTACAACTTTTTAATTATATGATACACCTTTCAGACATTTGAAAAAATATATTCAATTATTTTATCTCTACTAACAACTATCAAAATATTGTGAAATAAAGGTGTTATTTTTTAGATCATAAATTCAATAAAAAACTCCCTCATTTAAGATGAATGCATTATTATAGCGTAGACGCTGATCTCATGCTCTAAAATCTGCTAGAATTTCTTCAACCCTTGAGCCGACTGAAATTTGTAGCACAGATGGTAAAAGTCCTGATGGTTTATTTAAGATTCCCTGGAAGAATTGCAAGCATGATGCAATTGTCTTAGTAGAACGAAGTAAATCTATAAAATATTCTTCTCCCAACTATTTATTGCTACGATGTCACCCTCTTTTTGAAACTTATACCAAAAACTGGTGGTATAATATATTTTATTACTTTAATCTGTTTGTTAGATTAGAAAGAAGGGATATTTTGATAAAATTTGAAAAAATTTACCAAGATTGGTATCTTGATAGAACGAATATTATAAGAAGCATGGAATATGTGGGTGGGCTTATATTTATATGTAATGCATGATTAGTATTCACTAATTCATCAATAAGTTTTTCCACTTAATAAACAGTTAAAATTATATGCAAAATAAAAAAAACTGCCACGCTTTCGGTTTATCTTTAAATATCGTATTTCAAATCACCATTCAAAAATTAAATTCGAAAGAAGGCAAGAAAATTTATTTTAGGGAGAGTAATGCTGCAAGAATTTGTTTTATTTATAATTCTAATGATGATAATGTAGCATACACATCTCAATATCATACTCCTTATTGAAACTAAAATTCTCAATATGCCTAGTGATGTACAATTAGTGATAGAAAATTTATTTTAAAATAGGCCTCAAGCCTAAAATGATTATAGATAATTTATAAAAAAAAATTTAATATAAATTCAATTTCAAAGGCTAAAAAGGCTCTTGTACAAGTAACATGTTAGTTTCAATCATTATTTAGATATAAACATTTATAAATTATTTTCTATTTTTTCAAATGACACAATTTGCTATAATAAACTACAATTCCATATTATCTATTAATATTTGATATATTTGTTATATATTTGATAAGTTAATTTTCACAAAATATTCTTGATGATGACTTATAATAAAAGAGACATTTGTAGAAATACTTGAAAGACTCTTGTTGTAAAATAATATTAAATTTTAATTAATTGATAATAAAATATTTTGATAAATTTACTGCCTAAAAATCATAGCCCAAAATAGTAATCAGATAAAAGAAAAATTGAAGTATATAAATTGTCGAAAACATAAGCCTAAAAAATCGGGATTTGGCTAATGATATAAAAGAGTGTATGACAGTAATATGGCGCCGAAATAAATCTAACTATTATATGCAATAAATTTTAAATACGATTATAATAATATACCCTTCCTTGTAAAAGAGGCCACTGCATAATTTATTTAACCCATTATGAATGGGTTTAGTTTATTTATTCATTCGAAAAAAATTGAAATCGAGAATAAATTTCTAAAATATAAGTGTAATAACTAGATAATGATATACTATTCGCGATAAAGGAATATGCCATAATAACGAAACAAAATGTGTAAAAAAAATAAATTAATCATATTTTTGGAACTTCCAATGTATATAATAACGGTAAAATTCTCCTTATATCACTGGTAAAATTTACGAAAACCCTATCGATAGTATTTGCTTTTAATGTCAGGCTCGAGAATTTATCTTTGAAAATAAATCCCAAAGTTACGACGTACTCGGTATTCGGTTCAACATTTTGAAATGTGTGAGACTTAGTATTTACCTATAATGCAAAAAAAAAATATATGGTATATTGAAAAATATAGTAAGCGGTAAAATATTATTTTATTTTTTTCCCCAGTATTTACTTTAAAATTCATATAATTAGGGGGAGTGTCTATATTAATTAAAGAATTGAAGTGTTGTATAAAAAATATTACCCGTAGTGTTGTTAAACGACAAGTTTTGAGCCGATTTTTATAAACGGCTAAATCAATATTTTAGACAGAAAAATATTGCCTAAGCCTCGAGATTTTGAAAATATATGTCTTGACCTTTGTTTCTTCTATGAACAAAATCTTCAGGCTTGAGTAATATTTTTCTGGATGAAATAGTGAGTTAGCTGTTTTTAAAAATCGGCTCAAAACAAGCTGTTAACAACACTAATTACCCGGTAAAACTTGTTAGTTATAACTAGGGCTGTGCCGATATTAAATAACGGATCGGATCGGCATTAGTGGTCTCTAAAGAATAACGGATCGGGCCGATACCTGTAAAACTGATCCGATCCGATCTTTTTACTTTTCTTTTTTTTGTTATTTTATGTATATTTCTAAATAATTTTTTTTTAAACAATGCAAATGCACAACACCCCTTAAATTTTAATTATTTTTTTAAATAGATTTATAGTAATTTAAAAGTTTTTTTTTATAAAGATAGAAAGGAACAACATCCAAAGTTTTATTTATTTTAAATCTTTTTAAATAATAACGTCAATTTTATTATTTATACTTTAAATAAAATAATTTTTTTAAATATGGTATCTGAATTATGGAAATATTTTACAAAAGACAAAGATAATTTTTCAAAATTCTTTATCTGCGAAATTCTAATTTCACGGGCAGGAATAATTAAAAACTCATTTAATACTACCAATATCCGTAAACTTTTTAAATTATTCTAGAAATAAAAAAATTAAATTATATGCATAATTCGATTTTTTGCATAAAAAATATTGATTTCTTTACATTTGGTTCAAAGGGGGGTGGTGAAAAATCAATATAAATATCGGATCGATTTTGAACCAATATCGGATCGGATTGTTGAAAAATATGTGGATCGGCACAGCCCTAGTTAAAATTGTTATATAATTTACAAAAAAAATAAGTCATTTATCTCCATATTCATTGTCGTTCCTTAGAAATATTTTAAAAATAAAACGAACAATAACTTTAAAATAAAAATAATATGATGAGTTTTTTTCTTAGGAAAATAACAAGTTTTTTTTTCTCTTTAGCATTCACCTTTTCTGGTGGTAAGCTCCTTCAATATCTCTCTCCACTTATATTATTCATACTATTTCTTTTACCTAATTTCAATTCTTAATATTGGCTCTAACTTTATGGCTCATTGAAGTTTTGGCCTTCCTCTTTTACGTTTACCCATCACTTCCAAACTCTCAACCTTATTTCCTATATAGTTCATAGGCCTTCTCATTGTGTGCCCATACCACATAAGTCTGTTTACCATTATCTTAGTCTTAATGGGCACTACCTTACATCCAAGTATTCTTGTACTTCGCACCTTCCTTTCTTGTTACCCCAGCAATAACCTTCAGCATTCTCATCTCCATAGTTTTTAGACTTCTCTTTTTTTTGGAAACTAACAAGTTAGATAACGAAATTTCGATATTTATTTATGATCCCGTTTATCTCCAGTAAAATATTTGGAATTTGGTATAATAAAAAAGTGAATCTTGTTGTAATATTTTAATATATTTATATATATATATATGAACAAAGGAATGCTTGTAAACTCATGCATCTGAGGTTGGATCTTACACTACATTATAATACTAATAACTTGTATTTTTATGATAACCGATTATAATATAAATCATCAAAAAGTATCGAAGCCATTGACCTTTTCTCATCTATGATTACTCTGAGATAACAAAACATGGCAAATTAGCTCTTGACGTATCAGCCAAGAGAGCCGTCGGAGAAGGGAATCGGTCTAAAAACTTAGTAGAGCTTCCTGAAAATTTTAAATTCTTTTTTAAAGTAACCCCCTCCCCTCCCTCAATTTAAGAATCTAGGGACAAAAAAAGGGATTCAGGGCCGATATTGTTCTCAGTACATGTAACACTATATATTTTTATAAAAATTCTAATATGTATTTACCGATATTTTATACCATCTATGTTGATTCGAATGCTCGGAATAGGTGGGTGAAATTCCCGTGACCAAATTGAACATGTCTATCATACTTGATAAATTCCATTTCAAGTGACCAGTACTCCATTTTATTATAATTTTGAATTTTTTTGATTTTTTCGATAGTTTTGCGGTAGTTTTTTTATATATCTTAGGAGTAAACTCTAAATCATCTGAGAATTTATACATTATTTTGTATATTATATATTTAATATCATCTAAATATTATTTATTTAAATCAATTTTTAGGTTATGAACACTCCTGAGAATAGTTTTTATTTATTTAAATTATTCTGATCAAGACATTCTATTCTATCCTATCCTATTATTGAGATGGTGATGCAGTTAGGAGGTTAAATTAAGGTCGTAATGGGTTTATGATATACCATAAGGAATTTTCACAATTTTAAATTATCTAGGGAGAAAGATTTTATAATTTTGATTTGAACCGGGAATGCATTTCAGCATGTATAGATTACCCACATTGTGAATTTCAATCTTTCGATGATGAATCCAAAATTTTCGAAAGGGGAGAGGAGAAGACTTTTGGATGGCTTTTTCGTTATACATATTTTTTCAATTTGGATGAATATATTTATTAAAGTTATCAGAAATTATTAGGGCAGTTTTTTCTAAAATGAGAAATGGGCTATATAAAGGATCATTAACAAATCTTCAAGTTCTCTTTTTATTGATTTTGTGGGAATTTTTTAATTTATAAATTTTTTTTCTTAGTTGTGAATTATTGGAAATGTTTAACACTATCTGCAAATACCTATATAAACTGCTGATTTTTTTACAGGTTAAAAATTATTTCTACACTTCTAATAATTTAGTTTTGAATTTATTTTCGTATAATGTAAGCAAGTCTTCTTTTTTTTTGGGAAGAGATTAAAGTTAAGATCAAAAAATGGGGTAAAAATAATTTTTAAAAATTGTTTAACAGAACTGGTCGTATAACCCTATTCGGCTTATTATAATTAACCTTAATGTTTTATTTGGTGAAGAAACCCTAGTCTATTATATTTTATTTTTTTAAAAAATACAATAATTGTCACCTTACTGATTAAATAAATGTTTTATCTTCTCTTTCCAAATATTTGGAATATGATTGCATTAATAGGTGTTTAAAGCATCGATTTTTAGATTAAATGAAACAAAATTATTAATTTCTATACTTTTTTGTTAAAAACATATTACATTAATTTATTTTTAAAATTTACTCTGTCTTTATTTTTGGAAGAGAAATCTAAAAATTAATTAGATATAGTGCATCCAATTATATCCGTAGCGTTTGCACGCGCGTAAAGTCCAAATGTGGAATACACTTCTTTTTTTTAATATTAATTATTTTAGATTTTTTTCGTATAAATTTATGGCATTGTACGCTCTAACATGCTGATTACATATCCGGTCAAATCATTTATTTTTAAATGTTAAAATAGCCTCCAATAAATTATTTAAAATTGGAGGATTCACTTCCCAATTCTCATATTCCGTGGCTACAAATATTCATGATAATTAGAAAACCATATTTTTTTTAGGAGTTTCAAAGATCATATTATATATTGATTAAAATATTTATAAATTTATTAAATTATATACAATTTTTGATAAATGGCCGTTTTGTTCCATCTAGATTTTTTTTTTTTTAAATTAAAAATATATATTATAATTTCTTGATTAACTGAACCATTTTGTTTTTATTGGTTACTCCTCAATATTTTTATAAATATTAACGGAACATTTATTTGATAATAAAAATACTGTCCATTTTGATATGATTAGACAACTCAAAATGATTTAGAAGAAAATTGCGTGAAACTTATAGAGCATGTATACTCAAACATGCTGATAGCGCCTCCAATAAATTATTCGTAATTGAGAGATTCCATCCCCAATTCCACATCCCGTTGACTCAAATATCAATAATCAGTTTAACGATATTTTTACGGGTTTCAAAATAGATATGATCACAATAATATTTATAAATCAGGTGACCTGCAGAGGTGCCATTTACACGGCTTTGATCCCGGATCAAAAATCAATTTCGATCAAGCCCCGTGCGGATTTTTTTTTAAATTTTCGGCCCGGCGGTATGCCTTGAAAGGACTGGGCTTAAGGCCTGGTCTACAAATCTCTGATATAAATTGATCAAAATATTTTGAAATTATCAAATTGTATACTATTTTTGACACGCCGTTTGGTTGCATCTATATATATTTTTTTAAATAAGAGAAAAAATATATATATTATAAGTTTCATGTAAATGCAAAGTATGTGCAGTTAGATATCTGTGAGTCGAAATATAAATTGACGGAAGTAATTTATTTTAATTTCTCAACGACGGTTTTCGCTCGATAAATTATTCGCCGCTTCCTAATAAATTGGCGGCTTGGCTATTTTAAAATTCCTAATAAATGAATGCAATTTAATTTAATATTCAAATGTATTTTTTTTTTATATATATAATTGATTTGGTCATTTCATTGTTATTAACGTTTTTTTTACAATTTTTCCATGTCCAACTTTATATATGTTTTTCTCATTGTCTAAAACTAGATTTATGAGAAAAAAATATTTCAAAAAAAAATTCTTTTTTTACCCAGTCGCATCTATAATATTTTAGGTCACGTTAAGTGTACCTAGCTAATATTTTATATACAAAGCTATCTAATTTACAAAATAATTAACTAATATATAAAATAGCTAGCTAATATATAAAAGCTAGTTAATTTTTGTTTTACGAATTTCTTCCAAGGTTTGGTAATAATATGATTTTTTTAAAATATTTTAATTTTCTCTACTTTTAAAATGTTACTTTTGTATATATTTCCCATTTTTGAGTATTTCATTAACTGTTTGTAAAATCTTAACATTGCTTTTCCTCAATTTCGTCCACTCTTTATCATTATATTATTTTCCGTATGATGCTGTAGCATACTTTAGGGTAAAAGAAATCTAAATACTAAAACTATGTCAGAGTTATATGCAAATTATGTAAGACAGAAATAGAATAATTAATGTAAGCAAAACTTTTTCTTATAATTTAAAGTTGCATTTAAAGGAAGAAGTTAATTAATAATAATAATCAAAGAAATAGAATGCATTCTCAACAGTCAGCTAAAGGCCTTGCTACTTCAAAAGTTTACCAGATAACGATGATGGTTTTGAAAAAGAAACCACTCATACTTTAACATCCCAAAAGATGCTTAATTGACTGAAAATTTGCAAGTATTTTCTTTTGTGGTAAGTTCATTCTTTCATTAGACTATTTAAAAATGTATACCCAAATAGATCACTTAAGGGCCCGCCACAAAAAGAATTCAGTTTGAACATGAAAGAATGATAAAAGATGGGAATAATTATTATGAAATACAGTACCAGTTTGTACCATAGAGGATAAGTTTTAACAGATGTTGGTTTAGTTATATTTTATATAGTATTTTAAGATACAAAAAAAAGGAACATATCTTGTTTTCAAACTTTTGACCCTATTTACCATGCATGAGGATGATATAAATGATATTGATTATATAACAATTTTGACTTCATCCAAATCAGATGGCACAGTATTTAAAGATTTCCCTAAAAACCACTTTTCATAAAATATAATACACCCCCCTCCTCCTTTCCCACCTAGTTCTCTATAAGAGATATGTTTTTGGTGAAAAAAGATGTTTTTTCCTATATGAAAACTTTGAGAGAAATCTGCTCTTAAAGGACAAATACACAATATTTAATAAAAATTTGATGATGTGATATTATTATATTTCAAATTTGAATAAAAATTCGATTTACGATTAAATTTTGTGTTACATAAGGAAAAGAAAAAAATTTGAGCATAATTTTTAATGTAGCTATTAAAATAGATACATTTAAATGTAATAGCTAGAGTTATTTTTTTAATGAAAGTAACCAATTAATAGCGAAATTACTTTTATTTGGAAAGTAGGTATAGATAGCTATAGCGCGCTACTATTTTGCTTTCATTCCAATTTTGATTAGTTTAATTTTTGTTTACTCATTTCCGTTACTTTATAAGAATATTCCCCCATTTCAATGTATTTAAATTTTTTATAATAAACTAATTTTGTTCTAATTTTATATTTTCTCATCCATTTTTTTAGTGAATATTTAATGAGTTTTTAGTTTGATATACCTTAATTTTTATATTATTCTTACCAATTTGAATAACATATTTTATCAAAATAACGGGAAATTTCTTAATTACCCCTCATTAAAAATTTAGTTACTTTTCTGATTCATAACCTCATTAAATAAAAGGGGAAATTTCGGCCATCATCAATCAATGGGGAATTTCTGATTAACCCGTTATTTTTTAGCCGGTTATCTCTAATTATTTGTATTTTTCTTTAAACACTTAATTTATATTCTAATAAACTGCCGATTCATGAATCTCAGTTTAAAAATTACAAACCTTACATTAAGCAGTTTTATAAAAAAAAGGTTAACATAAATAATTTGGTCAATATGTCCACCAATCGTTCCTTAATGCCCCCCCCCCTTCCCCACTATAGTAACAAAGATTAGATTAAAAATAACTCAAAAAAAAAAATTACAAAGTATTATTATTACATCTGAACGTGTGCATAGCAGAGAAAACATTCGCGCTTTTATTGAATCCTGTAACAGTTATATATTCAACCGAAACTTCTATGAAATATTTCGCTTTTTTTTCTAAATTATTTATCTGGCATTTGTAGCTTTCCTGTTTTATTTTTTGTTTTTAAATAAAGGGAAAAGGAAGTCAAATAATTGATTAGGAGGTTTATTTAATAAGTGTAAAGTGAATAGTAAAACGGCTAATTCAATATTTTAGCTCGAAAAAATATTTGCCTAATCCTCGAGATTTCGCTAATAGATCTCCAAACCTTATTTCCTTCTACAAACATAATCTTCAGGCTTGCGTAATACTATTCTGGATGAAATATTAAGTTAGCCATTTTTAACAACATTAAAAGTGAATATTAAAGAGATCAAAACCTGATTAATAATATATTTGATTAGGATATCTTGAAATTTACCGCCTATATGAGTTTCGTTTATATATGTGAACACTTTACATATAAAAAACTGGATAGAGTGATCAGGTAGGAAAATATTAGAAGTCTCAAATCCTGCCGTGGCATTATAAGTTATACTATTAATATCTTTGATTTCCCCGATTTCGAAATTTTTTATTCCGTAAATGGACTCGCATTTAATCTTGACGCACCTTTTGCTTGTAAAACCTTTTATACATATAAATTTATCGTTAGTATAAAAAAAAATATATTTCTCAATCAAATTTTCGTTTAAGCATTTGATTATAAATTTTTTAAGCTCTAAATCACTTGACGTCAGTGGCGCCTAGGCAAGGGTGTTCCCCTAAATGAAGAATTGAATTATGTAAAAATTTTGTGTTTTAATTTTATAATTGATAACTTAAACGAAAATTTGTTCTTCATTTTTCATTCAAATTAATAAAGCTCGCTTTTTATAATTCTTCTATCAAATCATCTCTTTGCTAAAAAAAAATCTACAAATAAACAATACTATCTATGAAGCATAATAAAAAAAAATTTTAATCAAATTTTCACATTAAAAGAAAATTGTTATCCCAGAGAGGTTGTAATACGCATGTGATTGCTTTTTGGAATTTTTCAAATGTAAAAGTGCACTTAGTATATTACTTTACTTAAACAATGGCTCAACCTTAGAACTTGAAGGTAAAAAAAAGAAGAAATCATCTAATGTTAATCGTTTCCAATTAAGCTGGAAACAATGCATCTTTCTTTCTTTTTTATCACATTTCCCCAAAGAAGCCCCAAGTCTAATTGATTAACTAATTACGCTACATCTAGAGTTATATTAGTATCAAAATGATATAGCCATTATTGAGGATAGTATTTTCCTTTTATTGTATGGCTCCCTTTACGTCTAAAAGCGTGATATCGTCAATCTTCCTTCTTATTTTTTTGTAGTTGGAAAACATAATTGATGAATGAGATTAATTACTTCAGGCACTAAATATTAGCGCAAACCAGATGTTTAGTTCTTTTATATTTTGCATTCTGGCATGAAGTCAAGTTTAACAATTTTTTTTTATTTTGCTATTAACATTTTTTTTTCTTCTTCTTCTTTATACTGTCAACCATACGAATTAAATTATTTTACAAAATAAGTAGCAAACATTGATAAAACTTTTAAAATAAATTCGGTAACTTTTTAATGGTAAAGGTTGGCCAAAATTAAAATTTTGTTTTATTATAATTTTTTGTTTATATTATTTAGTGCACAAAATTGCTTGGTCAACTTCAAAGGACATGATATAAAAGATATTACATATTTTTTCAAAAGCAAAAATAAAAATTAGCAAGGAAAAAGTAAAAATATCTAAACCAAATATAGAAGGAACCCGGCCAAAGGATAAATAAATGGGGTTAGAGGCGAAGCCCTCATTTTTGACCACCCTATAACCTTGGATAAATCTTAGCTACTATACTTCTGGAAATCAACGAATCAATCTTTAAAGCTCTACTTTTTAAAATAAAACTAAAAAAATTTTTTTATAAAAAACTTCATTTATATACACCGAGGATGTAAAATTTTTATTTCGACTTTTATTGCATAGTATACAGGTAAAAAAAAATCATGATACAATTTGACATCATTGAGCTCAATGCATGTATAAAAAAATATTTATTTATTATGAAATGTTTTAAAACAATTTCTATCCTGGTTAAAGCATAAATAAATTTCACATTTTTCACACTTTTTCTTGAATATGCGCTAACACATAGTTTACACCTTTTTCGAGTGTTGGAAGCTTCTGGCCAGTTATTATCGTATCTAACGTCTGATATTATCTGAGGTAACTTAGATCCTTTTTGTATTTTTCTTTTACTAATTTACCTGCCATTAATAAAGCAGTAACTATTATTAAAAGTAATAAGTTTTATAAAAGATTTTTCATTTTTTTTTGAAGTAAATGTCTTCGATACAATAACCATGCATTAACAATGCAGGTATCAAATGAAATATTATTCGAAGATAGAACCTTCTACCTTTGATATCTACGCTGTGGCATTCCACTAAGATATAGTGTAAATCTCTCCCATTCCTTCATTATATTTTTTTAAAAAGGCCTAGGAATCTGAATAAAAATTTTTTCCATCAAGAAACATCGCCTCACATCTTCTATTGGGTCGATACTATTGAAGGATGATATAACATGAACAAATTTGTTGTCAAACCATTTGACAATTATATTAGTATCAATGTCAGTTTTGTAGTCGAAACTACCTCTCCCCCTTTTCTTGAGATCGCGATCGCTTTTCAAATAGCAACCTTTAGGCAATTGGTGTGAAGTGCATTTGTGGGCGAATCTATATCCATATTGACAATAGGATGATTAAAATTATCCTCACTATCATCAATATCTGTTTCCGAAATATCATCTTCAATTATAAATATTTTATTTGACATCTATAAAAAATAAAATATATAAATTCAATGTTAATAAAATAGCTTATTAAATTCCCCATGAATTGGGATCATAATTTTAAAATTATATTTACAAAAATTATTAAAATTTAAAAAATATATAAATTCATGATGACACACTTGAATATTTTGTCTACTTTATAAAATTAACACTTTTCAAAATTTTTCAATTAAAATATATTTAAATAAAATGTAAAATCAAGTAATTTAGAAAAAATCGAAACGGAAATATAGTCAAAAGTTATGTGATCATAAAATAAAAACAAAAGCATATTTTTTTTTTGATATTGAAAAAATATGATTGGATACTACATTCTATATTTATTTTAAAATGTTAAATTAAATCATTGAGTGGTTTTTAACGTTAAAAAATAACATGCAATATGATGATGTCAAATTAGCTCACAGGACTTTAAAGGGTTAAAATATTTACATTAATTTAAAATTTTTTGGAAATTGATTTCCAATATCTTTTTCCAAAGGCATAATAAATATATTTATATTTTTAAAAAAAACTTGTTTTATAGGTTTCATTGTTCAAGTCCACAATATTAAAACATAGAATGCCAAGAATTGCACTGTAAAAGAAAATATTGAGTTTCATATTTCAAAATTTAAAAAGAAATAATTTTTTTTAAATGGAAAATAAAAATTAATAAAATTTCGGAAAACTTAAATAATTGAAAATTATAAAAATTTAGAAAAATATTTGTATAAATAAATATCAACATGTTAAAAATAAAATAAAAACAATCATTTGATAGACGCAAGCTTGCATAAATAATATTAAAAACAGTTCTTTTAAAATTATTTTACCCCTATAATCAAGAAAATTATAGTTATTTTATAATCGAATCCCTCTTTCATAGGTTACATAAAAGATAACCTCCAATAGAAAGAGGGAGTTTGGTTTCTTGATCCTAAAGATTCTGGGTTTTGGAACACCCTAAAAAATTTATCTAGGGCCCATGGACCGGCCCTGCCCATAAAGGTTTTTGAATAATGTAGGGTTTTATAAAGATTTTTGATCCAAGAAAATCTTCTTTTTTTAAAAAAACAAAATTATTTGGAAGAAATGCTTAAAGCAAGATTTATGTATTTTATCGATTATTATTCAATGATGAAGTCCTTACACGATTAAATTAATAAATTTCTCTCAAAAAAAAATTATAATTCTGAGCGATATTTTAAAAAAATTACTATATAGTATATATAAATTACTGACTATTTTGATTAAAATGCAGAACCATAAGGCTAAATCTATTTCAAATATGGAAAATTTTAAATAATGCTTTTCGTCTTTAATAACAAACCCCCATATATTCTTTTCTTCCACAAAATATTTCTCAAATTTGTCTAGATCAACGAATAAGGATATGAACCATTTTCAACAGTTAATAAATTCTTATTGAGAGATGATTAAAACAATACCCCCCCCCCCCCCCAATTTTTCCAAAGATAAGATGAGGGAAAGCTTTTAGAAACAAATATGATTTGCTATCCACCATATATTTTGTTAATTGTATTTATATTCTTTGATAATTGTATAATAAATTCCTGTATTCGAGTATATATATAAATTGCATAGCCTAGTTAAGGCAAAAATTTCAAAAAAAAATGGATGCGTTTAAGGCTATTTCTTCTAATATAAACATCCCAATACCTTTGTATAAGACAAAATTTATACGCTATTTATAACATTTGTAATTATTTTATTATGAATAAAATCCTTGCAATATCTTTTATTTTCAAAATTTATTAAATGTTCAATTATCATTTCTCAGGAAATGAATTCAAGTCTATGATTATGATATATTTATTATGATTTATCTTGTTCAAAAATTATTTAAAATAAAAAATAATGATTAAAAAAATTTTATAACCTCCCCTTGTAAAAAATAATAAAATAAAATATGCCTAGGCCAAATGATATGAGTAATAGTATACTTATATTTTAAAACTGTTATTTTATATGTGCACATCTAAAAATTGAGATGAATCTTTTAAGAGTATCTTAAAACCTATAGAGAATTGCAAACTATAAACTAGTATTAACATATTTTTCCAATTATTCCATATATATGTTGTATTGGTATATGAAATCCATGTTGATTTGAAATCACTTAATTTTAAACTATTTACCTAAGGGAGGGTTTTATAATTGGCTGATATGCTAAGATAATATATTATGACTCAAAATATTTATTTATTACTAGGTAACAACATTTATGGATATATGTAGTATTTATTATAATACCAAATTAGTTTAAATATTGTCGATTATGAATTAAAAAATATTTTTATTAAAGTATTATAAATATTAACTATATAATATAAAAAATGTATTGAAATATAAAATATTATATAGAAATTATTTGTCAGATAAAATAAATTCACTATGCTCATTTGTCATTTTGGTGTATTTGTCTATTATTTAATCAATAGAAATATTATTTATAATATGTTTTTCAATGTTCAATAGAGGCAATAAATTTAATTATTCCTGTTCCATTGTTGATCAAATGTATGTTTTAATATTAAGTCGAAAACTAAACTTGGTATAGTTAGCTCAATTTTAAAGGATTTAGATATGCAAGGAAATATATCGTTGGGTATCAATTTTTAAATATGTTAATGATTTATAATTCAGTTCGTGTGTTAGATTGTAATGTAAAAATATAAACATTTTAAATCATAATCTTCAATTGGATCAAGGAAATTATAATCTTAAATAAATGGTTTATGACATATCAGAATTTTAAGAAGGGGGGGGGGGGGCAAAATCAGTTTTTTAATTCATTTATGATAATATCCAAAATTTAAAAAAAACGCGGAGTCAGTGCCATTAAAAATAATTTAAAAAACAGCCATTGCTAATTTTATTGGATTTTCTACTCCAACTAGCACTTTTTTTATTAGCCTTTATTTTAGTTTTAATTTATAATATGAATAAAATTTTCAAAAATTTTTTTTTAAAACCTTTATCCTGGAAATTTTGTCTAGGGATTTGAATTTAACACTTTTAAAAAGATATAAATTTTATGGCAAAAAGGGGGGGGCTCTGCCCTATCTCTAATTTTTGAAAGGGGCTAAAAAACAAAATTAAATTAGTTGGGGGGGATTCCCACTTTCCTCGAAAATATATCCCTAGTTTAAATTAATTAGTATTTAATATTTTGATGTTTAATTACCGATTTATTTATAGCACAAAATAACATATGGTATTTGTTTATGTTGTTTTATTCATTCATAAAATCATATGATTTTGAAGAATGGATTTAAAATTTATCCCATTAAAATCAGTAATAGATGTATCTTTCTGGATAAGATTAAATGAGCTCAAGATAGAAAAATTAAAATTGGATGAAACAGAAGTTAGTATCAATGGATATATGGATATATGTATTGATAATATAACATGATGAATAATATCAATATAATAGGTTCACAAATCAATATGCCGAGCATTGTAAATCTCGATGGTAGCTCTTTTGATAAGTTCTTAAACAATATCTTCCATAATATATATATAAATAAATAGGCATACAAATGTTAATAAAACAAAATTAATTTTTAATGGTAAACTAATCATTAAAAATACTTATGAAGGGTTTTTGAATGAAAATAAAAAAGAATTATTAACTTATTATGGGAAAAAAGTACAAAGTTTAAAATTTAACAGTAATTTATTATTTAATTTAGATATATGAATTAATGGATGGTGATGGGGTGATAAATATAAAAAAATTGTATTCTTTTTTTATACTCTGCTTTGCAGTATTTACATATTTGGTGGTATTTTCTATATATTTATAACATAGGATGTAAAAAAATTTAAATATTATTATTGGTTAGCTTTTCCAGCTATAACCTATCCCAAAAATTTCCATATAATTAAACAACCCATTCTTTTAGCATCTTTATTATCAGAGAATCATGTAAAAATAATCACCTATCATTGCTGATAAACCTATTTTAGATTAAAAGAATTGAATGTGAATACTTTAAGTGGCTTGAAACTGTTAAAAATGATTCTAGTAAATTTTTTATTTATATTCCTAGGACAAATTTTTATATTTAATTTTAGGTGATCGTAATATTAATTGTTTTGTGATTCATAGAAACATAAATAGTCCACATTTTAATAAAGATATTGATAATCAAATCGATAAAGAATTTAGTATAAGTTCTATAGAACTTTTTTTCTTAAATCTTACCAAAACTCTTGTCAATTCTGAGATAAATACAATTTTTGGTGAAAATATATGGTTTGGAATGACTGATCCATGTACCATACCCAATGAAAGTCATTCTAATGAAAATATTGATAAACAGCACAAAATTTATTATTATCCAGGTTGGAGTATGAGAAATCTCATATCACTCATCAAAATTAGATTGGATAATTTTTTTAAACATTCAGAAAACCAAGACACAAAAAAATACCCACTAAATCCTATAGATATAAACATAGTAAGCTTTAAGTTAACTCCAAATGTATATCCACAACCTTCAAATCAAACACATTCTTATTCCTTGGGCCAGGCTTCCACATTTTTTACCTTTAAATACGTCTTTCATCTATCCTCCTTGATTCTCAGTGACGAATTGCGCTTTGTAGGATACGAGACTGATGCAAAGGGTAGATTAGAACCAAGACATCTCGATTTATCCCCTATTTTGGACCCGTCAGAAATATCGGAAACCGCATCTAAACTCAATATAAGACTCATGAAGTGGCGGGCCATGCCCGAGCTAAACTTGGATAAAGTTTTTGGCACCAAATGCTTATTGATTGGTGCTGGCACGTTAGGCTGTAATATTGCTAGATGCCTTTTAGTAATCGAAATAATAATTGATAAATATTTTTTACCGATTAGGTTTTGAAATTCAATTTCAGTCCAGGGTTTAGAATAAAATTTTAACACCTTTTTTTTAAAAAAATTTTCAGTATATAAATTCATATCGGGTCATTCCATGTCAAATGAGAAAAAAAATCAAGATTTTCGGCCGACCCCTTATCAATCTCGATAAAAAGTTGTAGGCTGATATGTTAACATTAGATCATAAACAAAATTAGGGGTCGGCCGAAAAGTGATTGATTTGACATGGAATGACCCTATCGTTATTTATATTTATTACGATTTTTTTTAATATAAAACTTTAAAAAAAACATATAATTATTTGTACTGAAAAAAAAAATCATAGCATAATATATATATGCTGTGTATAATATTTATCTTTCATGAAAGCTTGAGCTTAATAATTTTCAATTTGATTTTAACAATTAAACTATTGTCAAAATTCGTGTCTAGAGGTGTTTTTAGGTAGTGATGTTAAAAAATCCCGTAAATTTTTTTTGTAATTTTTTATTAGTGTTGTCTAAAAAGCCCGATTATAATTTTAGCCAAAATAATGTTATGTTAAACCTGGAGATGCTCGAGTAGGTGTGGCAGGGTCTGGACCTCTATTTGCCAAATTTCGATGATTACATAATATTATTTTTGCTTATAAATCGACCCAAATAAAGTTTTTTAACAACACTAATCTTTATGCGCAAAAAAAATCCTTCACGTTTGAAATAGCAATTTAAATTGATCTTCCTAAAAGAATTCTTCAATTTTTAATCATCTTCACAGAAATTTTTTTTTTCTGCTCAAAATTTTAACTTTATTTTATTTTCCCCAATTTAAAATAAATTATAATTTCAAGAACCATATTAAACCAATGTTTGACAAGTATTTGTAATCTGTCAGTTAACTCCTTTCAAAATATTTTTATAACGATTCGATATAATAGTTGATATCAGTTTCGCGGTTAAGTTGGATACTCTGAATTCTTTGATTACCTAGGGTGCCCTAATCTCCATCTGCTTCAATATTTTTAGGAGGAGCGCCATTTTTAACAAAAAAATTATCAGTATATACTTAATTATCCAAATTAAAGAGGAATCAAAAATTCTAGATAATTATACTTCATTTTCCGAGTTAGGGCCATCACGGCCTAATCAGCTGTTCCATAAAAATTAAAAAAAATAAGGCCTGGGGCATTAATCATATAACTTTTATCGACAACGGTACCGTTTCTTATTCGAACCCGACTCGCCAATCGCTTTATACCTTTGACGACGCGTTATCCTGTTCCGGGAAGCTGATGGGTGGAGATAATGAAGCCATCGATCGTAATACGGGAAAAGCTATCATAGCGGCTCGAACCATTAAAAAAATATTTCCTAAAGCTGTAAGAATTTCCTTGGTGTTTTAATTCGAATATTATATTTAAATATTATTTATAAGGACCCTGTAAAAATGTCTGCCAAAATAACGATTACAAAATCTGGGCAAGATAAGAATACCAAACCCGGACCGAGTCGGATAATAAATTATGTTTTTATAACCCGGGCCCTATGTCTTTAGAAAGAAAAGGAAGAGAGAGAGTGAGAAAGAAATACGGGTCTATAATTGCGTTTTTTGAATATCAGAGTAGCGAAGGTTATAACATGACCGTGCCATGCCCGGGTCACCCCTTATCTTCAACTGCGTCACCCATGCTGAGCTCTCCTTTGAATGACAACGAAAATTTAACCGAACCTTACGACAAATTTAAAGACGTGAAATTATTGGAAACTTTGATTCAGGCCCACGATGCTATCTTCTTGTTGACCGATACGCGAGAAAGTAGGTGGTTGCCCAGCGTTATAGGAGCCATAATGGAAAAGGTTCAAAGTTTAAAGTATTTTTGGTACACTTGTATATAAATGAGTACTAACGCCATTTGTAACGGTGTTCCTTTTTCGTTCCTTTTTTTTGAAATGTAACGGCATTTTTTTTTGCAAAGTAACGAAAAAATAATGTTTAATGCAATGCTATAAAATACGATATATTGACTTGATATATAATATAATAATCTATTCCTCAAAACCCATAAAATTAGAAGTAGAGTTTTATCGTTATACCGACTCTTCCACGTGACTTCAAAACCACATTTAAATGGCTGTTTATGTAAAGTTTAATAGAAAGAAGGAACTAAATTATGTATATAGAGATAGGCTTATCGTATAAAGTTATAACCTAAAAAGTTTGCTTATTTGTTTGAGAGGGGTAGTAGGGGTAATAAAATAATATTTGTACTATTTCATATACAGTATTTTATCTTGTACATGAGTTCATTTTTTTTCTTACATAAAAATCAAAGATATTATTATTTTTTCTTTATAAATAAAGATTGTTATAACCGCAGCTCTAGGGTTAGACTCATACCTGATTATGAGACAAGGAAGCAGGACGCAGAAAATTTCTGATGAAAATGTCGAAAATCTCACCGAAAAATTTGGCCAGATCAACGCCGATAATTACACTAGTGATAATTGTCCGGGGCTTTCACCTAATACAGGTTTTTATTATTATTATTATTATTTTACACGCAAAATTAATTTTTCTACGACCGAACCTTCAGCATTCATTTCTAAGTCTACTGATTTACCCCTCATTTTATCACGAATTCGCTGCTAATTTTTATATACTTCACCGCAGCGCTAGCTGTGAATGTATGGTTAAACAGTCTCTAATTAATGAATATTCTAGAGAATTAACTTCGCCTATTTGTCACCATTTTTTATTATTATTGCTATCTTTATATGTGACACTGATAGCACTTAATAATGATTCTATATATACGCTTGTTATATTTGCGAAACGGTATATAACTCTTCTGTAAACACCGGTAACACAAAATATAACTGAAATTAGATTCCCGGAAATATTTATCCCAAAAATCTCCATTTTTTTTTTCGTCATGATTTAAACGTTTTCCCATAACCTAAGTATCAAAGGGTCAATCTCGCATTACATTAAAATTGATCTTTTAAGTGCTTCTAACCTTTGTTTCACCATTCAAATTTCTATCAGGCTCAACTTGTCCTATTTTACATTTAATAAAAAAACTGAATGTGATGAGGCTTAAGAGCTACTATTTATCTTTCTGAACTTTTATAACGATAATAATTTTTAAAAAACGAATGATTAATTATATTTTTAAAGAACCTGATTATCGTCATTTCACATCCTAATATACTCATTAATAAATTTGCCTTTTGGCGCGGCCTTTGACAGTTTTCATCATAATTCTGAACTTTAAAAAAAAAATATGCGAAATTCTGGCCCGTCCATATATAAAAAATATTTGGATTTCAGGTGGGACCGGAAGTTTAAAAAAATTATTTTTTGGGGAATTATCTCGGAAATTTAAATAATTTATTAAATTAAGATTTTTTAAAAAACTTTAAAAAGATGGATTTTAGGAATCTCGTCATTCTAATTATTGAACCCCTTTTAATTTATTTTTCGTTTTACACTTTTCAGGTGGAAGCTTTGAACCAGTATCAGGCGAAAAACTGGGCTGTTACTTTTGCAACGATATAATAGCCCCCAACGATACGACCCACGATAGAAGCTTAGATCAGCAATGCACTGTCACTAGACCCGGTCTGTCATTTATGGCCACCGGGTTTTCGGTTGAATTGTTGCTCTCCATCATCCAGCACTCCATGGGGTTGAACCTTTAAATTCATTTTTTTAAGAAATATAAAATACATTGGTGAATTTTTGAAGATTTCGCAAAACGCTTTGAGGGTTTCCTGGCGTGGGCCTGAAATTCCGCTAATCGTTTAGCGATAGCGATATCGTCCTCGATTATTTATTTTTTTTCGCAATTTTTATTTACATGTAAAACAAAAGAGGCTTACATCGTCTTTAACTTCTTTAAATACCTTCCTATCTTTTAAAATACAAACCCATTATCAGATTTAACATTCACATATTTTACATTTTCCTTTTTTTTAACCTAAAATCTTTGCTATTATAAATCCTATATAATAAGGAATGTTCGCAGTTTTTTCGTTTTCCCGCATTTAAGGATTAACATTTATGTTATCTGTGGGAAATGTTAAATCCCGAGTTTCTCCTTCTTTATCGTTTATTGGCAGTTTTTCAAAATTACCCAGGCAGGTCAGTTTCCCCTCTGATTTCTTTTCTCCACCTTTTTATGGTCTTGGGGGTCGTTAATTGTTACAACCATTATTGTTTTCATGCCACATGTCACCCATTATCCTTTTCGTTTAAGTCCCACGTAGGTCTTCCTCGAAGCCTTGATCCCATTTTCCAACGAATTAAATCCCTCAATCCAATTATCTTTCGTTCAACGTGCCCATACCATCTCAATTATTATTTCCATTACAACTCCAATTGCTGCTATATCAATTCTTTCTCGCCTTTCAAAATGCTACCTTCTTCCTCAATGTGGTGGAAATTTGTCAACTTCTCCGGGCGGCTAATGTAGTTTAAAAAGGTTTCCTGTGGCCTGAGGTAGAATATAATCAGCGTTTTCTTCGACGGGATGTAAAAATCATTTAAAGAATGATGTCGGGAAGGGCATCCGATTGGAAAAACAAACTCCCCAAAATTCACTTACGGTTATAACAAAATAAATCCCAATTTTAACTGTATTCGTTTAAAAATAGATAAATTTTGTAGTGTTTTTGTTCCCTATTCTTATACTATATATATTTAGGTTTTATTTAAATATAATAATTAACATGTTTGTGTTAGCCAAATCAAAGCTTTAAAATGTTCTATATAATTTGCTATTCAAAGAAAATTAGTTTTTCTGCTACCCTAACTCTTCTGAAAAAGGGCACACTGAAAAATATAACTTGATTTGCAATGATTAATTTCCAAATATATCGTAAACGGTTTTTATTTAAATCCATGAGGGTGGGGAGGCTAAAATGTCATATTAGTATCTCATCATAGACCCGGACTTTAATCATCCCTACCATTTTGCTGAAAAGATATCGTTAATTCACGCAAATGCATTGGCTGTAATACATTCCACGGTAATATATGTTTTTCTCGATAATATTCCCTCGGACCATGCATTTAAGGTTATGCGTTTTGCGGAAAAGGTTTCGCTGATTTGACATATAATCAATCTAAGGCTAGAAATAAATCGGGGTTTTTTTAAAACATATTTTATAATAAATGTACAAAAGGATAAACGCCCCCGCTATATCTAACGCTAATCCATCGTTGCTAAACTCCTACAATACCGAACCAAATAGTAATATAGAATCTTGTTTAGGTATCGTGCCTCACCAGATTAGAGGATTTTTGTCCAATTTTTCCACCATACACCCGTTAACCCTTGCCTTCGATAAATGCACCGCATGTTCAGATAAGGTTATTTTCGTTTATAATTAATCGCATTATTGGTAAGTGGCAACTTGTCCAAAATCATCATCAAAACCCCGTAAAGTATAAGGTCAAAGTTTAGAACCCAAACCCGAGTCTCAGAACTGGAATCCAAAATCCTTCTTATTAAATATTTAGGGGCCAGAAAACTCCCAACTAATTTATATGTAAGGTATTATTACATAAAGTTGAAACTTTCTTTAGTGATACATTTTTAGGAAGTTTATGAAGGAAAGAAAGAAAGAATTGTGTTTACACATTTTTTTTGAAATTTTCCAATGTTTTAGCAGCAGAGTTTGAGCGGATATTTGAACTCAGATAAAAATTATGAGAACTTTTTGGACGGCATTTAGAAAAATATTATAACCGGAATCCTTTTTCTTTAGTTGACGGTTTCGAACTCTGGTTAAGTTAAGATAAACATAATTAAACGAATGACCTCAATTATGATCATATTAGACAAATTGTACTGTCTCCCCGTTCCGCCTGTTGACTAGTCTGAAAAAATAATACGCAAGCCTCTAGATTTCGATGCTAGATATCCAAACCTTTCTACCATCTATGAACATAATCTTCAGGCTTGTGAAATACATTTTTGGCTAAATAATCGGGTTAGCCATTTTTAAAAATCTAGCTGTTTACCTAAAAATGGCCATCAATCACGCTTTCAAAAATAAATAATTATCATATTTAAAAAAAAGGTACTAAATATCTATCGATCGGAGCAGAAATACGAATTTTTAACTAAGGTGTTCGATTCTCAAAGTACTTTCCTGGAGGAGTTTACTGGTCTCAAAGATTTACTAGAAGAAGCGGTTAATCAAGATATTACGGCATTTAGCAGCGAAGATGAAAGTTCGATGGCTTGAAAGCTAATAATTCATCATTATTATTTATTTTATATTTATAATATTTTCTATTTGATTATAAATAAAATTATTAATCAAGTTTCATCTATGGATAAAAATAGCCGTTTTGTGTTGGGTTATTAATTTTTTTTAAAAACAATTCACATAATACAATAAAACTTGTATCATTTTTTAAAAAAAATTATTTATGACTTTTGTTCCAACTTTTAGCTTCATTTTTATTTCCTATCCCAGGAACTTTATATGCCAGTTATTAAAGTAGCGTGATACTATTTACTTTTATTTAGTATCGAGTTATTTTAATCTCACAACCCTCTTTTAAGATTGGGTACATTTGTCGTTAATGCCGATTTAGTAAATTGTGTTGCTGTTCAGCTAAAGTTTTCAAATTCTTATTCGACCGTATATTTTTTTTAAAAAACTAATTGTATTCGACTCGAATAATCATTTTCAAGTATATGTCCGGGTGATAGTTAGATAATTGAAAATATTGGGTATGCTGTATAATGTGTCTTTTCCTAGTACGCACAAGGTTATTATGGTTATATGAACAAATTTATCCAAAAAACTTCCTTCCATTCGATTGGAGAATAATAAAGTCATAATTGACCAAGACGATCAGATGGCACTATGGTTAGATTACTACCTGAATATTTTTGAATCAAGGAAACCAGCTATAATATTATCTGACCAACAATCTACACCTCAAACTACCTCACAATTTTCATTAACTGAAATCTCTACTTTTAGGAAACTCAAAAGGCTCCTGGCCCAGATAAAATCACTGGGGAACATCTTACAGCGACTTTAAATGCTGTACCACGTTTCCTGCTAATCATCTTCAATATAATTTGGTCTTCTGGGATGACACCTAAGGGCTGAAATTTTACCTTTGCAACTTCCCGAAAACCTCAAACCCTAATAAATTCCTCAATAATAGGGCAAGAGCACACACTTCGACCGCATCCAAGATCTTTTTGGCTTTCCTCAAGATTCTTATTCTACAAACGTCACAAATCTTCGCAAAATATATTTGTGCTTATCGCCCAGGTAAAAATATCATGGAGCCATTTCTTACTATTAACTCTTTACGTTTATTGATTTTAAACGGGCGTTTGATAATGTTAATCATGATGCTCTCTGGAAAATACTATTAGAGGTTGGGGTTGATACAAACTTAATTAAGATTTTAAGAAACCACTATAACATCTTACTACCTCCTGCAGACTAGACAAAACCTCTCCATCTTTTAATATTAAGAAAGGAATAAAACAAGGCTGTGCCCTTTCCCCAATTCTCTTTAACATAGTAATGAACAAATTTCAAAGATAGATTCTGCCAATCTACGGGAACTTAACTCATTTCCAAACAATATACCATTTAGAGAAAGGATAATATCCTATCCGGATGATGTAGTAATTATTATCAAAGACCTTGAAGAAACTTATAATCTTATCCAACTGAAATCTGTAAGTTTTAAAGTTGGGGCTGGAAATAAATTTTAAGAAAACCCTCATCCTTTTAGGTAGATACACTAGAGAACTGCACGGGCTGTCCGTAGCCCGACCCGAGTCACGGGCTCGGGTCGTGTTCGGACATTAAAAAATATTTTATGGGCTCGGGTCTGGTTGTAAGAGCTGTCCCACCCGAAACCCGATCCGACCCGAAAAAAATAATTATATAAATATCCTAAATTATCATTATAATTCATAATGACAATTATAAAACTATATCATATTTTTTTTATTACATTTTATTCTTAAAATATAAAACAGATAAACATATAATTTTCAATTATTATTTTATAATTTATATAACAACCATATCCCAAACTATTTTTTTTATGTGATTACATTTTGTTACATTGCATTGCATAGTTAGCGATATTATTATATACTTTACTTTCATCATATTCTATCAAGTTAAATAAAATATATTTTACTAATATCTATTTAATTAAATAGCCTCATATTTTCATATTATAAAAATTATTTCAGTGGATACCAAATTAAAAAAGTGGTAAGATTATGCCAAATTCAAAAAAGTGGAAAGATTAAGAGAAATGAATATGAAGTAAGGCTAAATGCCAATGGAAAATCTGCGGTCTGGAAAACGTATTCATTTATATATGATGAAAACAAAGAAAAACTTAATTATGTAAGTTGCAATTTTTGCCATTTATAATTCTATAACACATACATAAAATTAATGATATTATGAAATTACTTTAGGTATAAATCAACTAAAATGGCATAAATGCATATTTAAAATAGAGAGTAAAAAGACTCAATTAACAATTGTTAGCCTTTTTGGTACTGATCCCATAAAACTCAAAATTTGTGCCAAAATTAAAAAAGGATCATGATTTGTGGACGTGATTTAAGATCATTTGATGCTTAAAGGCTTTGTTGATTTTTGCCAATAATTTGCCAAAATTAACTCAATATATGGAAATATTGATGTTAAAAGCATCATTCCAAATTTCACGACAATTTCTAGAAATTTAATAGACGCTGTTCATGGTATACGCAATAAATTATTTCCAAAATTAAACGCATATATGAAAAAGGGTCGATGTACTGATAACAAATATATGAAAATATGGTTAAATTTTTATAGTTTTTAGATTCGAATGTATTTTAACTTTTTTATAATATTTTTTACAAATTAAATAAAATGCAACTTAATATATATATCTTGATTAGATTATGGCCGTCAAATAAACTTTTATTTAAGGTGGTGATGAATAAATACACATAATTTTTTTTTGCTTATTATAATATTCAAACTCAAATTGTAAAATTTTATTGGGGCTCATGTCGGGTTGGAGTAAAAAATGTGTGCTCCGGTCGGGCTCGGACAAAAAAGTTTTTTAATTCGAGCTCGGCGGGCTCGGGCTGCGAAATTCCTTTGCAGACCTCTAAGACACACACCTCCCGTAAGAGTATTGTTATTGAATCAGAAGTCATTAAGATAGTTACCAAAATTAAATATCCGGAATTACCTACCTTGAACAATAGAGGGGTCTGTAAGGAAGCACTTAAATTAAGGATACAAAAATCTAGAATAGCCTTCTATAAGTACTTCAAGCTTTGGGAGATAAGGGAGATACCGGCCTTCACAAGATTACGAATCCTTAATTCCTTTGTGATCCCTATACTGTTATACGGCTGCGAAACTTGGGAAATTAGCGACAACAGGATACTTGAGACGTTTATTAATAAGTGCTTAAGAATTATAAAAGGAGTTCTCTACCCTAGAATCGAATGAATTATGGAAACTATCAAAACATACTCCTTTCCATGTCATACTATAGAAAAAACGAATTAATTTCTTAGCTCACATTCTGAGACACCCCAACTGCAATTTGGTTCATGATGCTTTAAATTGGCTCTTTACCTGCAAAGGTAAGTCATACAGCAGATACAAGACATTATGGTTTCACCGGGTACTGAAAGATGTCGCTGACCTGAACAGAAATTGGTAACAGTTCACTAGACTGAACAACAATTAAAAATCTATCAAAAAGCTTCTTAAGGTAAAATCTAGGTGCCTAAGATGAAATCCCCTATCCGTCACTTTACTCTTACCCACAACTATTCCCTTCCTCTCCCTCAACTACCTCAAGAGTACAGGTTTTTTTTCAATTTTTCTTTCCTATTTAATAACATATTTTTCTTAAATGTGACTCATTAAACATTAACTTAAACTAGACTTCCCCTATCCAATCATAATTAGATAAAATTAGGACAGTAGGTATGGGTGTGGGCTGTACTTATTTAGCCCTTTCCCCTCTTAATCAGCTCATAGACGTTTAAACGATAATCTTCGGACTATTGTGCGTACAAGTATGTGCGGCTTGCCCACAAATGTATAAAGGGCTTCTCATATTTTCTTCCCTGATTACTTTAATAAAACCAATTAGAGGAAATGAGAAAAACCTAGCGTAGCTCTGTTGTTCCCACATATCATGTAAAATCGCAAGAACTAATTTTATGTTGAATAAAATTTGTATCCTCTTGAAGGGTTAACTATTTGATATTTATTAATATAAAAAAGGATGTATAATTTTTCTATCAATCCAAACCAAAGATTCATTGCATAACCCAAACTGCAGAATGGATTCTATAGACAAAACCATGGCACTCCGTCTAGACCATGGTCCTACCTGAGAAGACCAGATGGTTGTCTTAACTAGGCTCAAGGATGTATTATTTAGAAAGTTTTGTGGGATTTCTCCAAAATCTTGTTGAAATTATCAATGTAATGTATTCTATCATAGTGTGCTATGCTACCCCACATGAGAATAAGAACATGGCTAGTTGTACATCATCTTGCATATGCAGGTGATATAACATTTATCCTTCCAAAATGATGATAGGTTCTTAATTGTCATGAAACATATGTGAAAGAAGAATTGAATAGTCTTATAGGTAATATGCTATTTAGAAAAAATAAATTGCTCTAAGGCAACATTCAGACAAGTTGGTTTTTCCAAATGTTTCATCTGTAAGTTTTTTAACTTAAATATAAAAATTTATCAAATTATTTTGCATAATAAAATATTTTAAGAAAATTTGTCAGGAGCTCCAAATTAGATGCTATTTTATCATTAATAAAAAACAAAATATTTTAATTTTTATTAGCAATTAAACAGTGCCAACTTTATATTATGCATAAAAATTCAATAATGTATTCTTTACTTGTAAGAAAAAATATTTAAACATGACTAGGAAACTACTTTAGAAATACTTATCTGGAAGTGGCCCTAAATAGTGATTTTTATAATATTGTCCATTTCCATAATAGTATAAAAAAATGTTTATTTAGATTGCTATTTCATATTTTTTTGGCTTACCGATTTTAGAAATTGTATAAATTAATGACAAATTTATGAGAATTGATGTGGGGATATTGAACTTTTTTGATGTTTCTAAATCCATTGGTTCAGTTCAGACATCTTACCCCTTCCCAAATCATCCAAGTTTCAAGAAAATAATCTGAAGACTCAGACCTACAAGATCAAGGCTAAAGTGAGCCAACACCTTAGCAGATCTCCAAATTTATCTTATAATTACATTATTAATTGATAAAGGAGACCTCGGAAATGTATAGCATCTTTATATATGTCCATAATTTTAAAATATTTTTAATAAAAATTTTCTATAGAATTATTGTATAAAAATAAAATAGATAACCATTATATATTTATTTAACATTTGTTTCAATCATACTTACAAACATTATAAATAAAAATTTTCTAATATATATTTTAATATGACGAGTATGTTTCGAATATATTAAGCGAAGAACATTGTGGTATCGAATTAAAAAATATATTTACAATCATAATTCTTTGAAATATTTTGGTTTTAATTCTTCAATTCTCTTTATAAATTCAATTTTTTCTGTACAGGCATGACAGGCTTCATTCCAATCATTTAGGATCTTCCTAAGTTCTTTAATTCTCATACTTTTTAAATTATTCCAATCGACAGGGCGATCTTAAAAATATAAAGTAATTGCATATAAATCTCATTAATAAAACCATATTTCAATTCACAAATCTCCATATCAAGAGCTCCTAATAATTCACATATTCGTTCAGGGGGATATTTTCCAAATAAATAGCCTGTAGTAGAACCCATCAATGAGGTAGGTGAGTTTTCAATTGCACCAATATTAACACACTAAAAATATAAATTTATTAAATATTAATTCAATTTTATTTGAATACTATTTTGTGTTGTTTTTTGTCTGTAATTGATTCACAAAACTTCTCTAAATTTGATTTGATAATATCTTTGCTTGAGAAATCTTGACCAGGTATTGAATAAAAATTTTCAAAAAGCTTGACACAAACTAAAAAAAATTGTAATATAAAAAATAATCTTAAGAATGAACCTTCACATTTATTCTTTGATTTTGCGTCAATAATTGATATATAAATTAAATATAAGCACAAGAAAATTATATTCATTGTAATTTTAAATAAATAAATTATTTTATAAAATCAAAGAATTTAAATTTACACACGATTCCTTAAGGTTGTCAAAATTTTATTGGCTTAAAAAATATTACTTCGACATTCTTGAGGTAAACAGAAACACTTAAATTTTAAAATTATATATATTATTAATATAATGGTAAACATAATTTTTGAGCCATGTTCTGTACATGTATCATCAATTGGTTCAAATTCTATTATTTTTTTTGATTACACTGTATCCACTAAAACTGAAATGATATAGGCTAGGAACGTCATTTGCCCTTATCTCATGGGCTCAGAAAACATTTTTTTAAATTATTAAATTTCAACCCTTCCTCTAGCGAAAATTTTCAAAGTAACTTTTTTTAGCTAATATTTTTAAAATGTCATTTTTTTTAGAAATGACCTGGTTTTTTAGGTATAAATCTTCAGGGAACTCAAGCTCCAATGCGCCCCTTGGCGTTACTGATAAGGGTTAATGCAAGGCAGTAGAGTCAATAGGGGGGGGGAGGCGACCTCTAAAAACAAATTCAAAGTGCCCCCCCCCCCTTGAAATTTTTACATTTTTTTAGAAAATACCAAAGGAGAGGAAATATTTTCTGAAAAAAAATTTATAGTTTCTTTTAAAGCTGAACCCTCGAAATCTAGTGACGCCACTTATGTAAGGTTTGTCGGTATTGCATGCCCGATCCATGCTATGCAAATTGTCATAGCTATAGGTATTTTCTTTGAATTATTGATTTAATATATTAAGTAGGGTGAATTAATGATTGTTCCTAGTATTCTTATAGTAAACTTATGATTTCAAGATGGAATAGAATCATTAGTCCTTTGATGGCGAAGGCCTATTTAAAAATAAACAGTGCATTATTCATAATCGTGCTAATATTAGAATATATTATTTGTATTCAATTTGATAAAATATTATTAAACAATTTATTTGAAAAATATTGACAGAATATTTGTGATTTTTTTATTCCGCTTCTAATTAGCAGGAAAAAATTTTTATAGTAATCTGATGAAAAAGAAGATGTGATCAAGTTATTAATGAAATCAAAATGCATCTTAATTATAATGCCAAGCCAAGACAATTTTTAAGGCAAAACAATTTTGACGGCAAATTTCCAAGAAATAATAAATCAAATTTAATTTGAATAAAGCAAATGATTATAATAATTTGTAGATAACATTTAAGAATAAACAAGTCATTTAAACAATTAGCCGAATATTAGTATTATTCGCGAATATTTTATTATTCGTATTATAATAAATTAAATATTTTATTATTTGTAGCTGTTATTATTTTATTTGTTTTTGAATAGGTTTATAGATATGTTCGACTATTAAAAATTCTTTATTGTGGGTTTCAACTTATAGGCAAATGTGAAACACATATATTGATTTCTGCAAATTGCATTTAAAAATTAGTTATGGTTTACTCTTATTTAAATATAAATTAAATACTAAGTGGAAAATTCAACTTATTTGGCAAATAATAGTACCGCAATAATATCATAAGTACGGATAGTTTTCCCCCCTAATTTTTTCAAATACTCAGTTTTCAAAAAAAATGTTTACCTCAAATTGAAAACTATAAGAAACTTATTTTTTATATTAAAAACTATGACGAATAGGATTATAATCTAGAATCTTAAATTTCTCAACACCCGGCATTTTCCCCATATTTTTAAATTTTTTTAAATATATATTTAAAAGCTGGTTGTATTGTTAAGGTTTGTAAAAAATTATGCATTGGGACGAGAATTATCCGCTAACATTACTTACACATGGTTACTGATGGAAGCACATAACCCTCTAATGTTGTATGTGTAGAAGCGTAAAATTACGTTTTTCACTTTTTCCTCACACTGAATTTCTAAATATGACATAAGCTCTATGGGAGTAGGCTATTATAAGTTCTTTTAAATGTCCAGAAGATAGTATAAGGTCAGAGATATGAATAAAAACAGCATGGGCCATAAATTCAACTGAATTAATTTAGTTTTGGAGTGTAGTATGAGATTTTAAGATTAAATATATTAATAACTTGTCTGACTAACTTATAACGTTACATATAAATTACCAACTATAAATATCTATAAATAAATATATAATATAATATATGTGGTAAATTCTCTATTTCAACTTGATCCCCTCAAAGATTTTTTAAATTTTGTTAATTGGTATTATATACTATAACTAAGAAAAAAATAGAATTTTACCTCCTTACACCCCTTACTAACTAAAATATTAGCGTTTAAAGAGCGGGAAAATGGTAGCACTTTTCAAATATTTCAGGAATAAATTAAGTTAGAGCAATATTTTTTAATTTAAAAATTATGTGTAAACCCTTATTTTATTGTTTAAAAAAATTATTTGAGAGGTGGGGGAGGGAGCAATGTGGTTTAATTATCACTTCTTTGGTTAAATTTTCTCTTTAAATTATGTGACAAAATAGTTCTAAACATGATTATATTTGGCTATTCTATTATTACATATAATACAATCAAAAATATATAAAAATTTTATAATAATCATATACTAAATCAGCCCAAGAATTTGATGATCTCCTAAGGGTATGATAGTATAAAATTTTGTATTCATAAAATTGGTTTGCTCTCAAAACTTTGTTTCTGAGATGATTTTTTATAAGATATTCACCATTGTTCACAAATATAACATTTATCCATAGGATATTATTTCTGCATAATCAATATATGATCATATAAACGTTCAAGCTAAATCGAGCTTACTAAGGCTCCTAAAAATGTCGCAAGGGCTTTACTAAGTGTGGTTGCAGATAAATGCCCCTCTGCCTTTACCTCAAAATCATTTTCGTGATTTATTGTAGAAGTTAATAGAGTTTTTTTATTTTTTATATTTGGTAACTTCCCATCAGAAAAATAATAATTTTTGTCTACTCTGTCAAATATTTCTTTAAAGAATAAGATCAATTTTGTTTGATATAAATAAAATGCACGTGCGTTGTCCTTTAAACAATCAGATATAACGTCTAAATTCACTTGTTTAAAGTCTTTTTAACGGTATTAATTCATATAAAGTGAATAGTGGCCTGATTATTGGTCCAATAGAATTCTTGTGCATGGTCCTATACTACAAATTGATAATTTTTCGAAAGGTCAGTAATAACTAAGAATTTGCCAACATATAAAAAGGATTTTAATAAGTTTTGAAATAAGAATTGCTGTGAATCTATAAGAATGAGAAATCAAATTATTTAATATTTTGATTGGCGGATTTTGCGTTTCAATAATTGTTGTATAATCTATTGAATTATCAAATAATAAATACTCGCTCTTTTATTTTTGATTTATTCTAAAATAAAAGATTTAAAATTATTTTACTAAGTAATTTCAAGAGAAATATTTAACCAAAGAGTCTACCTGACCGGATTTTCACTGAATGCAAACCCCCTTCAAAAACCTATGCCAACCCCCCTAAAAAATTCTCGCCGCCTTCGGTGGCGATGTTTCCCTATTATTAATTTCACTTTTTTAATTATAATGATACTCCTTTCAGAAAATATAAAAAAAAACTTAAATTATTTTATCTTTACTACCAACTATCGACATTTTATAAATAAAAAGGATTTATTTTTTAAATAATAAGTTCAATTAAAACCACAATCATTTACAATGAATTCATTATTATAGCATTATGATGCTGAAAATGTGGATAGCAGAAAGTTTTATTTAAAAAATAATTTCTATGATTGTTTGCAATATATAGATTTGGTTGATGAATTGTATTATAATAGGTCTATAATAAAAGTATTAATTTTTACAGCAATAAATTTTGTCCTATTTCATCTCAAAATTTAATAGATAACCACCCAAAAAATTCCTACCCTTATTAAAGCCGACTACCCCCTACCCCCCTTAAAAAAATAGGATGCAAATTGTTCCTACCCCCTCCGCAATAAAATATAATCCCCCCCCCCCCCAGCTCTACCTTTCAAATAATTTTTTAAATAATAAAGTAAGAGCCTCTCATTTAGACATAATTTTTAATTTTTAATCTCAATCATACTATAAACTATGGATAGATAAGTATGATTTAAATAATTATTACTTTAATTATTAGCATTTAAAATACAAATACTCACTTTCTAACCCTTAAATAAATATTAAATACAAATAGGAAAACCGAGAATGTATTATTTACATTTAGTATTTTAAATATAAATATTCACGATACTGCCACACCTCTTTTAAAATATAGGCTTCTAGGGGGGTGGGGATATGAAAGTTTTTTTTGAAGGGAGGGAAGCGCTAAATCTGGGCATTATACACATAAATTATTTCTCACACGAAGACGCGGCCCTGAAAAAACCATTTTTTGTATTCTTTCTATTTATCTTTATCCTTTCCTCCGCTCCTATGGTAAAATTTTATTGTTATCACTAGTGAAGGTCAACCGTCCGGTCCTATCGGTCTTAGACCGGGACCGATTTTTTTTGAGGACCGTGGTCCGGACCTGTCTTTTTATCTTTTACGGTCCAGACCGGTCTTTTATTATTATTTAAGTTTGCTTTACTAATCAATTAATATAATTTTTTTGTATATTTTATTTTATGATATTTTTCTAGATTAGTTATTTTAGATTTTTTTAATTTTTATTTTACAATATGAAAACCATAAGTTTGTTCAAGAATTATTTATAGTCACAATAAAAAACATAGAGTATGTGTTCACTGTAGTACCAAATTTAATGTATCGTCAGCAACAAGTAACAAAATAATTGATTATAATTTTTTAAGCAATAAATTAATCAAAATAAGCAGTATTATTATTAAAATATTTTAGTTATTATTTATATAGTTCTATTTTATCTTAAGAAACTGTCTGAATAATTAATTGTCAAAATAACTTAACCTTATTCATAATAAAATAATTATATACCTTAAGCAGACATCTGATAAAACATAAAATATATACTGTTGTAAATGTTAGATTTAATTTGCATAAAGAATTCTTTTGGATTTTGTTGTACTTTATATTTAATTTGCATAAAGAATTCTTTTGGATTTATTAT